GATTGTTTTGCACCATCTCTTTATCTTTTCTGATGGCTGGAATGTTAATGAGATGGCAGGAAGTAAAGCAGCCATCCTGGATCATGAGGTCGGCTTGAGAATGGAGGCTATACACAGTGAAAAGAAATAGAAAAAGTCTGGGTACCTGAGGTCTTTATGAAACAGAACTTTTATAACAATTCCAATCTACCTCCAGGTTTTGACATGAGAGAGAAATAAACTTCTATTTTGCGTAAACTATTATTAACAGTTTAAAAGTTTAAGGCAAACGTAATCCTAACTGACACACATGCCAACAGCATTCAGAAAGCCCTTCATGGCAATGTGGTAGTAATACCAAGTAAGTAATAACAGCCTGCCAACAAATATGAGTGTCAAACTTATACCACCCTTATAATGTGATCCTGTTACCTTTTTTTTAAGATATGGATATTTTATGCAATTGCTACTTGGAATTATGATGAAAATAATGGTCATTTCTTGTGGGGCTGGGGAGTTACAGAATCAATAGAAAGGTACATAAATGGAATACCAAAAAAAAAAAAAAAATCAGTAGTTCAGCTGCTGAATAAAATGCAAGAAGGAGAGTCAACAAGAAATTGGGGAAATACACAAACAAATAAAAAAACGATGTTAGTCCAACCGGAAGTGGAATTTGGTGCTGGGTGCAGTGGCTCACACCTGTAACCCTAGCACTTTCTTTGGAAGGTCAAGGTGGGAGGACTGATTCAGCCCAGGAGTTGGAGACCAGTTTAGATAACATAGCAGGACCCTGTCTCTACAAAGAAATTTAAAACTTAGCTGGGCATGGCGGTGCACACCTATGGTCTGAGCAGCTACTCAGGAGGCTGAGATGGGTCAATAAATTGAGCCCAGGAGTTTGAGGGTACAGCAAGCCACGATTGCACCACTGTACCCCAGCCTGGGCAACAGAGTGAGAACCTTTCTAAAAAAAAAAAAAAAAAAAAAAAAAAAAAAGTGGAATTTGGAAGCAAGCTTGGGCCAGCCCTTTGCGATCTGTCTGGAAATCTGTCTAGAACAATCCACTTCCTACACCTGAGAGAAGAGTAAAAGTGGGGGCTTGTAAAGCTGTTTTTCCTCACCTGACCCCATCTGTTCTCTACAAGGGCAATTCTCAAACTGCGAATTTTATTTAAAATGCAGATGCTGCTTCAGGCAACCTGAGGGGTGTCCCATAAGTCTGTCGTCTTTCTAAAAAGCTCAGAGATGATGCTCATGCTGCCAATCCATCTACAGACCAGGCTTTGAGTAGAAAGGCTACACAACTGCCAACAAGATTTCTTTGAAAACTAAATTGGATCATGTCATGCCCTGCCTAAAAGCCTCCATTGGCTTCCACTGCAATTAGAGTAAAACCCAAGCTCTTTTCTGGGCCCAGGAGACACGTAATTGCTACTTGGAATTGTGATGGAAATAGTGGTCATTTCTTGGGGTGCTAGGGAGTTACAGAATCAATAGCAAGATAAATAAATGGAACACCAAAAGAAAAATCAGAAGTTTAGCTAGACCTGGTCCTAGCTCAAATCACTGGCCGCATTTCTACCCACTCCCTGCCTTGCCCACACTCCTCCAGCCACACTGGATTTACTTCTTGCTCTAAACATGCCATCCTTATCTCGGTACCTTGTTTCATTTTTTTTTTTGAAAGGGTATTTATCAATATCTAGAATTCCAGCTTACTCTAAACCTGTAGAATATAAGCTCCTGGAATTTAGTCTATAGCATGTACCATTGTATTCTCAATGCCTAGCACAGTGCCAGCTACAGAGTAGCCATTCAATGGAAATGAAGGTCAGAAGCTAAAGGCTGGATCACAAAAATAGTGAAAGTAATTGATCCTAGGGCACAAAACTGTAATGGACAAAAGGTATTTGAAGACTGAATGATAATGCCCTTGTCTGCAACACACTCACAGCATAGCATCCTAGAAGACTGACTCCAGTTTAAGTCAGTCCCTACAGCAAACAGCACCAGAACCAAACTCCCAAACTCACAGTAGATGATTCATCCCCAACAATGTCTGACACAACAAAAGTCCATGACAACAAATGCAGTTGAATACTGCCATGGTGTTTGTTGTAAGTGCTGGCATTCGAGCCCCAGCAAAATATGACTTCTGTGGCAGAGGAGATTTAGCACATGGTTACCCCAACTGAGATGAATCTCAGAATGTGGCGCCATTTCCCAACAAAGCCCTCCTGAAGACAGTGCGCCCGACACTTTCTTCCTGCCTTCTTACTTGTAATGCTCTAAAAACCAAACAAACATGCACAATCCAGAAAGGTTAACCAGCTTGTGCCATGGAAAATGGCTATCACGTGTTTTCTTTCAACTCACCCCCCATTCCCTCCCCAAGGGTGGAAATAAAACATCTTGTCGGTCTGAGAACATTCAAAACGAGCTGTCATTTAGAAGTAACGACTGCTTGTGCTATGCATATAAATAAAAACCCATACTAAGCTTAAACACATTTATAAGGTCTTTGTAAAGACTTTGCCGTTTCTCTATAAATGTCCAGAAAGATTAATTAAGAGCAGCATGGCTCATCCATCTAGATTGATTAAACATATATTTAAGGGTCAGACTGGAAACAATACCTAGATACATTAACACACAATTTGCCCACAGTCATTAGTCTATTTATTTTACTTGCTGACAATATTTCTGGAATTAAGTCATTGTTAATCTATGTCTGGAAGGAGAGACAAGACCACCCAACTCCCCATCCAAGAAACCATCTTCTCTCAGTTTCCAATACTAGCATTCTTTCCCCAAATTTTCAGGCTCCCTTAAGCTTGGGGAGGAATCAAGGTATCACAGTGTATGGAGAATGTGCTGCATTCCACTCTTAGCCCACTGCCTATCCCATTAGTACTCTGCACAAGGTCTCTGCCCTCTCTGAATTTATTTCTCCCTTTTTACACTGTCTCTTTGCATCAAGGCACATTTTCCAAAACCCATTTGGGAAGTAATGTACGCTTTCCAAAAACAAAGCATTGGTTAAATGCTGATGTCATAGACCTAAAGAATAATGGCTAACCATGAGCAGCATAGCATGCCCTTTATCTCAGTTAATATTCACAATATGTCTGCAGTGAGTCTGGAATGTAAGTAATCATAGTCCCTTCTCATGGGTAAGGTAAACTGGGGTTCATAGAAAGGGAAAATATTGGCTTTTTTTCACCTAGCTAGAAGGGAGGAAAGCAGGTCTCACACCTGACTGAGTTGGAGTGCTCTTGGTTGCTGGGTTGTATTGTCTCACAAATGCCATGTTGAGTCTGAATCAGTTCTGCTTCTCTGGGTTAGGCCTCTGGGGCTCCAGTGTGAACAGTGGAGGACTGGGAATACTTTCTTCCCATCTGTGCCCCTAGTAGGGGCACGTGCACACTCATCATGTATCCAGACACATTTGTTGATTGTTAGAACACACATTACGTTGGTAATTTTCCTTTGGCTGGTCTTTGGCTATGGTGGCCAATTCTCAGACTTTATCTAAGCCATGTTTATTAACATAACTTTTAGGAGGTTTTTTTAAAGAGCCGATCATACTTCCAGACTGACCACATAGTTCTAAAACAGGTCCTTCAACACAGCTCCAAAGAAAGCAAGACACTGAGTAGAAGTAAAAAGAACCAGGATCTAATCTTCCTCACGAAGGTAATGCCAGGCTGGGTTTGAGGGGAAGGCTTGGGTTCAGGTCCCCAACCCACCACTGTCCTGGGAGTGGGCTCATTACCTTCTTTGAGCCTCAATTCCTTTATCTGTAAAAAGAGGTGGCTAACTTATAAGGTAGTTTAGAATATTAAATGAGATAATGAAGGCAAGGCAAGAAGTACAATGACTATCTCACAGTACATGGTCTATCAGTGAGAACGATTATTATTTCCATGCAACATAAATAATAAATGGTGATCATGGCTAGCCATCTATTGAAGGTTAACTATGTGCCAGGTGCTGTTCTAAGCACCTTTACTACCTTAATTCATGTAATCCTCTGACAGCTCTATGAGGAAGTGCTATTATTCCCGTTTTACAGATAGGTATACTAAGGTCCAGAGAAGTTAACTTACTTTCCCAAGGCCACATTGCCAATCTTTCAGTCTTTCTCAGTGCCTCCTTTGGGAACAGGCACTTTAGCTTCAGGACGCCCTCTCTTTATATACATGCACACACACACACACACACATATACATATATATTTGCACTTTAGGTTCTGGGATACATATGCAGAACATGCAGGTTTGTTGCATAGGTACATACATGGCAATGTGGTTTGCTGCCTCCATCCCACCGTCACCTATATGTGGCATTTCTCCCCAAGTTATCCCTCCCCAACCTCCCCACCCCCTGCTGTCCCTCCCCTAGTGCCCCCCAACAGACCCCAGTGTGTGATGCTCCCCTCCCTGTGTCCGTGTGTTCTCACTGTTCAACACCCGCCTATGAGTGAGAACATGCAGTGTTAGATTTTCTGTTCTTGTGTCAGTTTACTGAGAATGATGGTTTCCAGATTCATTCATGTCCCTACAAAGGATACGAACTCATTGTTTTTTGTGGCTGCATAGTATTCCCATGCAGGATGCCCTCTCTTAACCACAATGTTCCATAGGAAGGAGAGAGACAGTCATAAATCCAATGGATAAACTACTAAATAGAAGGAGCAAGATGCCTTAAGATAGGTCCATATGTCTCCATTCCTGCTCTTCCTCCCCTCCCCTACCCCACTAAATGATTTTTTAGCCTACATGTAGGTAAACAGAAAATGGAGGAGAGGTTTGTCCCACCAGAGCTTATTTTCAAAAGTGGAGCCTCAACAGTTTTTAGGATAGTATGATGATATCACAGTTGCCAAGACAACAGTGAAAAACCATAGAGAAGCATGATTAAAAGTGTTAAACACAAGGAACAGTGGCGTGGGCCCTGCATTTCTCCAGTTTAACCCATCTCCCTGGCTCACTCTCCCCATGAGAGACCTACTATACCTTTGCCTCCACCCGCTCCCCACCTCCAACCACCAACTTTCCCAAGCCTCCAGTTTTACACAGCTGATTCCTATTCACTCATCAGATTTCAACTTAGATGCCACTTCTTCCAGGAAGCCTTTCTGGACCCCACCATGCACACTCCACTCTGTCAAGATTTAGTGGCTTCTCCTGTGCTCCTGTAGCATCCATCACAGTATTATAAGTTCCTATTGCCTTTTCTGGGTCTTTTAATGGTCTATAAGCTTCATGACAGAAGGTTCTACATTCAGCAGGCATTCTTCTACATCCCAGAGTCTACCTTTGTGCCTGTCAGATAATTAGACACTTCAGGTAATATACATTGAATGGTACCTTTGCCAACTACAAAGCATGTCACTTCTTTTAAGATTCAGAACTGTGTAATAAAATTCTTAAAGATCAATTTTTTCATGATCTGAAAGAGATATAGACAATTGCAGAAAAGTACCAGCAGTCTGTTTTTTAGGTCACCAACTAACATAATGGAAGTTTAACAGCATTTGTTTCTGGAACATTTTTTTCCAAAAAGATCCCCAAAATTCTTTCTTCCATTAATTAAAATTATTCCACTTCCTTTGGTTCCCTGTGAAGATAATGTTCAGGGGCTTAATTGTGATACTTCCCATTAACTTTCGCTCTTCTGGATTTAATAACACCAGCTTCTTAATCTTTTCCTTATAAAAATCTATTGATAATTTCCATTGCTTCCCCACTTCTCCATATTTTTCATCTCTTAACTCCTACTGTTGAATGTTATATTAAAAAAAAAGTTTGAAGTTCATATTCTAAAATTTGTTTTCTGAGGGCTTAAAGGCAAAAAATAAAACAACAAAAGTCCTCATCTGTTTGTCTACAAATTGAGGAGTAAGATAAGGATTCAGTTAATGGTCATTTGTCTCAGTCTATCCAATTTCTTTTTTCCTATTTGAGGCTCATATTTTGAAACAAGCTCTACTTTCAACAAAGGTCTTTCAACAAAGTTATAGAAGGCAGAGATGACATTCTGTTGAGATATTAGAAATCTTAATGTTAGATATTAAGATATTAGAAATCATTCTATATTCTTCAGAATGGTCATATATCAAATGTTCTGTTTTTCCATGAGTAGATTCAAAAGTATCATATTCATTTCCTAATTTGAGACTCAAAAAAAAAAATACTGTGGGCCTACATGTGGCATACAATCTCTAGGTGCTGACATTAATCTCAATACGAAACAGTGACTGCAGCCTCCATCTATGGCTGGTGCTATATTAGCCATTTCATAAGCATTATCCCTTTTAATCATTAACATTTTTAGGAGATAGAGATAGATGCTACTTGTATCCCCATTTACAGATGAGAAAACCAAGGCTCAGAAAAACCTACACAGAATCATCTATCAGTAAATGACAGGACAGGGATCCAACAAGCCTGGCTTAGAGTGGGCTCTAAGCTCTAGGCACTCTGCTTAAGGCTCTGGAAGCATTCATTTCAGGCTTTTGCTTTTTTTTATTTTTTTTTTTTTTTTGCAAGTGACCTCATCTGGCATCATGCAAATAATAGATTAATCATAATTATTTGATTCTGACATGAGGAAGCAGAACTTTCTTTTTTTTTAATAGCAGGAAGGTCTCACCTTGTTGCCCAGGCTGGTCTCAAACTCCTGACCTCAAGTGATTTTCCCACCTCGGTCTCCCAAAGTGCTAGGATGACAAGTGTGAGCCACCATGCCCAGCCAGAACTTTCATACTTCATTAGTAGCACTATAAGATGGGTCAGCCACATTGGCTATCATGTTGGCAATATCTAGCAGTTCTGGGGATGTGAATATCCTGCAGTCCGGCCAATATTCCTTGGGTAGTATGGCAGACACAACTGGTCAACTGACTCAGCTTTCTTGTACAGCATCCTGCCTTCTAGAAAGTTTCCTATAATTGGCTGAGGGGTGAACGATGTGACACTGTGCTGGCCAATGGTGTGTAAGTGAATGTCACTCTGCCTCACTGAGTAGGGTTTCTAAGAACACTTGTTTGCGAGGACAATATGACTGGCTGTTCATGGGCCTTTTGCTCCTTTCCCTTATTCCTGACGAGAACACAGACAGGATGCCTGGAGGTGCTGGAAATATTTTGTGACCATGAAAAAAAAACAAACCAGATGATAAAAGTGCACCTGTTAAAGAAGGCAGAGAAGAGAGAAGGAATAAACCTGGATCCCTCTGGTATCACTCAAGTGCTGTGACAGTCCTGAGATACCTATTGCTATGTCAGGAAGAGTATGTGCCATTAATCCACTCATAGTCAGAGTTCTTTTCATGCATGGTCACAAGGTGACATACACAAATACTTATGATGTGAAAACTTGCAAATAAGCTTAAGCTTAATGCCCATCAATAGGGAAATGGAAACATAAACTGTGGCATATTCATTCAATGAAACATCATATAACAACTAATAAGAAGTTGACTTGGCTGGGCACGGTAGCTCACACCTATAATCACAACACTATGGGAGGCGAGGGCAGGTGGATCACCTGAAGTCAAGAGTTTGAGATTAGCATGGGCAACATGGTAAAACCCCATCTCTACTAAAATTACAAAAATTAGCTGGGTGTGGTGGCACATTCCTGTAATCCCAGCTATTCCAGTGGCTGAGGCAGGAAAATCACTGGAACCTGGGAGGCGGAGGTTGCAGTGAGCCAAAATTGCACCACTGCACTACAGCCTGGGTGACAGAGCCAGACCCTGTCTCCAAAAAAATTAAAGTGAAAAGAGTGAATTAGATCTACATAGATAATTCTTGAAACCATAAAGTGGAAAAGGGAAATTGTGGAATGACATGTGTTTAGTACAATACCACCTAAAATATTTTTAAGACACGTAGACTTGGACTCTATATATTTTATGGATATGTTCACATAGATGGAAAGTATAAAAACAATGATATGGAGGAAACACATCCACTTCAGGGAATGAGGAAGGGGATGAAATTGGGAAGTGGTATAGAAGTCACTTCAGCTGAACCTGTAGTATTTTATTTCATAAGAGTAATCTGAATCAAATATGCCAAAAATCTTATCATTTGTTAAATTTGGGTGGTGGCTATGTGAGTATTTGCTAAATGATTCTCTGCATTTTTCTATCTATTTAAAATGCCTTACAATTTTTAAAAATTAAATGAATAAAGAAACACTATTTCAAAAGCCAGTTGACTATTTAGGAAAATGTACTTTGCCAAATGTAAGGTAACCTATAAAGTAGTATACTTTATTATTATCATTACCATTGACCAAGAAAGTTGCATTGAAGAGAGAAATTCCTGTGGACCATGAAGAAAAGGGAGAATGAGAAGATGGCTAGGCAATGATGTCAGGCCATGTTATGAACTAAATTGTGGCTTCTCAAAACGCATATGTGGAATTCCTAACCCTCAGTGTTATGGTGTTTGGAGACAGAGCCTTTAAGGAAGTAATTAAGATTAAATGAAGTCCTAAAAATGGGTTCTTCATCCAACAGAACTGGTATCCTTATAAGAACAGAAAAAGATACCAGGAGCATGTGCACACAGAAAAAGACCATGTGGGGATGCAGCAAGAAGGTGGCCATCTGCAAGCCAAGTGGGGAGGTCACAAAAGAAACCAAACCTCCAACACCTTGATCCTGGTCTTCCAGCCTCTAGAGCTGTGATAATATACATTTCTGTTGTTTAAGCTACCCAGCATGTCGTAATCAGTATGGCAGCCCTAGCAGTCTAATTAGGGGTCATGCCTAGGACTATGCTTCTCAATAGGAGATGTTACTGTGCAATGAGGGAAGCATTAGGAAATTGGGGATGGAGGTATTTTTTGGTGGCAGAAAGACTGGGAGCAGAAGAGCCATTTAGTGAGCAGGAATCAAGGAAGCAAAACCTCTCTCAGTGACCGGTTTAGTCCTCACAATGAAAAATAGTTCTGTCTCCCAAATGCCTTCAAAATATCCTACAGGACACTCATATAGGTGGGAAACGTGTTTATAATTACCTAAAGCTACCTAAAAAGGGGCTAGGTGATATACGTTAAATTTTCCAGAAAAGAAACTACTCTGTAGATTGAGAGGATTTTACTTTGTGTTCTTCAGAACTTTGCCAAAAGGTTCCATTTTGAAAAACCATATGACTGACCGTAATGCCTCAATGATGTTTGAATGTCCACATAACATAACATATCCTTATCAGTCTTCATCTGTAGCTATTGTATACAGTAGGATTCAAACTATGGTGAGGTGACCAAATGCAGCCTATCATCTTTTTTTATAAATAAAGTTTTATTGGAACACACTATGATCACTCATTTACACATTACCTATGGTTGATTTCACACTATAACAGCAGAATTGAGTATGGCAACAAATCCTAAAATATTTACTATCTGATCCTTTGCAGAAATGTCTGCCTACCTCTTGTATAAACAGTGATTCTACATATAGTACTAACATCCAATTATTCCTGTTCCTAATCTAGTTTAATCTTAGAAAATTTACCTATTAAATATGCATAATAGTAATATAAGTTACTTCTCCTTTAAGTTCTCCTTTAGTTATAGCTAGTACATTATGAGTTTTCTTTCTTGCAATGTTGTAGATTTCTATGTATGTGTGAAATTCATCTCAGGACAGTAAAGGCGGGGTGGGGAGAGTGTTTCTAAATATTCTCAGTGAGTTAAGAACAACTCTTCTAGACCTAATAGAACAAAGACCATAAAGGACAAAGTTAGAATCATATGATTAAGGAAGAAACTTGAAAACAGTTGCCACACTGGAAATGAACTGACTATAATCTCCAGGAGGGAAGCTACTAGGTTTACTTGTACCTCTCTTAAAGCAGGACCTAGTACACAGGTGTGCTCAATAAATACTTGCTGAATGACTCAATTAATGGAAGGATGGCTGAGACATATGGGTAACTGAAGGGAAAAAGACTGGAGTAGTGAGATTCTGTCCAATGCGGTCATCAAGCAGACTCTCAATG